CTGCTGCTCGCCCACCCGTCAACGGCTGCTGTCTCTTGGCTGCCCTGCCCAGCTCTGTGTGGTATCTTTCAGCCCGAGCACTGTGGTCAACACGTGTCAGAGGAGCAGCACTGTCAGCATACTGCAGGTCCTGACTGCATCCGCATCGTGAACCGGCAGTGGATAAAAAGACGAGTGCAGCATCTGTGAGATGGACTGGGAGTGCTCCATCCTGGTGTGCCTGTGAGTGTGGTGGTTATTCTGCTGTCTCGTGGGAGGAAGACACAGTTTCTTGTCTCTTTAGAGGAGTGTGCTTGCTGCACCCCTTTGCTCCCAGGGCAGCATGCAGCTGAGCAGGGAGAGGGATGACAGCAATGCATCCTCTGCCTTCCCAAGCCATGGTCTGTGACAAAAATTGGGTGTCAGAACGAGCTCCAGAACAGGGTTGGCGTTGAGACTCTTTTGAGTTTCTGGGGGGAGTCAATTTTATGAGGCGTGCCACTGCAGGTTATTTTGTGTTACCTAAATGAAGCACCCTGCACCTTAGCAGCTCGGCTTTTGCAGGTCCCTGTTTTTGAGGTAACCATGGAACCTGACACATGCACCTGGGCAGCTGTCTGCTTCTGTAGGCAGCAGAACAGGGTGTCTCTTACCGGCTCAGTCTGCAGGACAATGTCTCATCTCCAGCTGCAGGTGTGCTTGGGTATGCGCCGTGTTGCTGAACTGTACACTGGGATGGCTTAGACAGGGACAAGTACCGCATTTTGCTGCCCCGGCTGTAACCTGCAGTGGGGTGGACAACAATGTCTTAGCTTCCATTAGCAAAGACCATCCAAGAGGGTTATCTGCTGAGGTCCCAACTCTCCACACACTGCACAGAGGCCTTCGTACTAGTCCCATGGCAGCAGGTCTCACAGGTTCCCCAGGATAAAGCAAATTAAGCGAGTGCACACATCTGTACGCTAAGTGCCTCGCGTGAGCAACACGGCCCCCTTTTCTGGCATCTCTCACAGTCCACCAGCAAGGCTCTTCTTCAGCTACAGCTGCCACCTGCTTCGTCACTA